ATGTCTATGGGACTTGAGATCTTGGGTGTGGCCCTGTCCGTGCTCGGCTGGCTTGGTGCTGTCGTTTCTTGTGCTCTCCCTATGTGGAGGGTGACTGCTTTTATCGGAAATAATATTGTGGTGGCTCAGATTATCTGGGAAGGACTTTGGATGAACTGTGTAGTTCAGAGCACAGGGCAGATGCAGTGTAAAGTCTACGACTCTCTACTGGCTCTTCCACAAGATCTTCAAGCTGCTCGTGCTTTAATAGTTATCTCCATTGTCATTGCAGTCATCGGGATCCTGATCTCCATCATTGGAGCAAAGTGCACCAACTGTGTTCAAGATGAGTCAGCAAAGGCCAAGATCATGATTGTCTCTGGGGTCATCTTTATTCTTTCGGGGCTCATGACACTTATCCCCGTATCCTGGTCAGCAAACACAGTAATTCGTGATTTCTACAACCCTCTAGTTGTGGATGCTCAAAAGAGGGAGCTGGGTGCCTCCATGTACATTGGGTGGGCAGCTTCTGCTCTTCTAATGCTTGGGGGTGCTATGCTGTGCTGCACTTGCCCACCAAAACAGGAGAAGTACCCTGCATCCAGAGTGGCATATTCAGCGGCCCGATCAACAAATCCTGGATATGACAGAAAAGACTATGTCTGAAGAGGAAACAAGAGGTGATAAATGGACATGGAAGACTCTTGTATCAAGTGGCAAGAATGAGCAGGTGACTTTCTTATGGAGAGGAGTGGGAAGTAGACATCACTGACACATAGACTTTTATAAACCTTCTTCTAAATGCTGTTATTAATAGTACATTTTTTATATAACACATAATATACATATACAGCATTGGTTCTGACTTTGTGTACGTGAATCTACAAGAGACATGAATGGATGCTTTCTATTGTCGTGGCATTGGGTGAATATTCTTGAACTGGGAGGGGCAAGTCTTCTTGGCAATGATGAGGTGGCCTAAGTAATATAACTCTTTTATATCCCAAACTGCCGAGTGAACTGTCTACTAACAGAACAATGCACTTTTGTTTGTTACAGCACCATTACCTACTGGGGAACCTTACATGCTTGCTGTTTCTTAAAATTTAGAAAACACTAGATGAAGAAAGCGTTGTTCTCACAAGGGAAGAACAGTGCATGGCTTTGTATATTACCGTAATATTTGAGAGCCAAATAAATTGTTCAATATTTCTGGAATATAGCGTGCACCATATTTATCAGACATCAACAAATTAAAATGTACAATTTAATCTATTCTATGTCTCATAGCTAATAAGAGTTATTTATGACAACTGGAACAAATTTATTTTGTTAACCATACCAACCAATCAGGTTTAAAGCTTGATTCTAAACTTGAAAACAAGCCATAAAATGTGATTGGTTTCTATGGGTAATAGCTCCATTTCCTTGATCCATTGTTGATAAGTTAGCCTATGTGACTGGTAGATGTTCTTTTCCCTTCTACCATTAATAAACCATCAACATTTGCAGTCTCTAAAGTAGTTCTAAAGTAAAGGATGAAAAGAGCACTATGCCAGGAATCCATTCAAGTGAGTTTATTCACCCAGTGCAAGGAACCTCATTTAGGACTTGATAAAGGTATCAAAGACAAAAATGTTGCCTTGCTGTACAGGAAATAACCTACTTGAGTATCTGCTGAATTTGTTATATACTTCTACTTTTTTCCTAGGCTACTTTGGGGTATTAATAGCAATGCACACTCTCCTATCTGTGACTGCAGCTGTAGGGGTTTCTACAATAGCCTGCAGAAATGTAATTGTAGAAGGCAAGAAAACCTTCCCAGGATACAGAAACCAAAGCTACTAAACAATGGCAGTTTATGAAAATTACATGTTCTCAAGAAGCTATAACACCATCTTATGGATCCAGGTTTTCCAAACTATTTTTTTAAAGAATGCTAAAAATATGCATGATTATTTTAGTGCTTTTTAAGATTTTTACTGATACAGTTTGATCGTACATTAATAAATGGAGCATTTGTTATTCTTCCCACCCTGAAAAAAAAATTCCTAAGTTTCAGTTTGTTTTACTGCACATCTTTTGTCACCAAGAAAACATTTACTCTTAGGCATTAATTATCTTTTTTTTACATTTATTGCCTACCCATTCTCTCTACCCTTTTCCCAGGTTTTATTACAACACGGGCTGACTCTTTTAGCAGGCTGTGTGGCACATCAATAGGATTCCTGTTAATGAATTACAGCCTTTTTTTCCGTCAATAAATGAACCAGTGACACATTAATATGCACTCCCTAATAAAAGAGAAAAAAAAGTTTCAAACTGTTAGTAAAGTTTAACAGCTTTCAATCTTTTCACTGCCAGGGTGACCTACCATTATGCCAAGTGACTGGCTATTTTGAAAGGACATAGTAAATTTATGTGTGGCATTAAGTTCCTCCATTAACTGACTGCTAGGGTGTTTGCTGCAGTTGTGTTAAAAGCATGTGGAATATTCAGTTACAATGAGACATTAGTCTCCAACAGGTTTGGCAAGTCTACAGTGCTATCTTAAATGGTGGGTTTACAAAAGGGATTTCAATATTTGCATTTTATTTATGTAGTGTTGATGTATGTGTACTGGTCTGGTTGAAGTGCAGTGGTTTGCTTTGTCCTGTTAGAATTATCAGTCTGTGGTCCACTTACTGTCCCCAACACCTAATAAAGGTATATTATTACTATAGCGGACTTGCAGACTTGCTTTTCAGTAAAGCATTTGATACAAGTCTAATTAAATCTAATAGAGATTGATTGCTAAAGGATACTCCATCATAATCCTTGTAACTGCATACTAATAAAAGCAGACCTTATTGTGACTTGTGATTCATAATATCCTATACTGATTGTAAAATTTGTGGTCATGTGAAAAATATATTGTATTAGCATTGTGAAGATGTAATAGGTCATAATTAGAGGGTATCGTAGCATAGCTATAAAAGTAAAGCTTCCATGTGGTTAACAGTCATAGGAAAATGGCAAGCACAGGGTGCACCAAATACTGGCAGTCTTTTTTGGACCCCAGACGCGATCAGGAACTAGAATAAGCCCCATAATATCCACAATATCACAAGAATCCTTTCAGTAATGAAAATTGTCAGTATACTCCAAAATATCATCACAGTAAGTAGGCCATTGAAAATGCTGCCTTAGGTCTCATGCACATAGGACGTTAAAAAAAAAAACTATCCTCTGGCAGCAGTATTTTTGAAGAAAAAACGATTGTCGCTGGTAAAAGTATCTAACGCTTTTACAAGTGTTAGGCGCTTGGGTGTTAATTCATTCACTGGCCAGAATGGTAATTTATTCTAGCCGTTGAAATGAATTAACGCTCAAGCGCTAAAGCGACTAACGTTTAAGCATTTAGCCACGTCAAGCGTTTTTTTCTGCCAAAAAGCTGCTGCTCCTGGATGCATTGGCCCTGAGTTTTTCTTCCTGCTGGTAAACGCTACTGCTACTAAAAGCTTCTAAAAGTCTATGTGTGCTTGGACACATAGGATAACATAGAGGACCGTTCAGAAGCAGTAAAAAAAGTCTGACGCCCCTGAAAGTGGCTGCAAAAACACCCTATGTGCATGAGGCCTTATTCTTTTTTGTGTTTGCCAGAACAAGGATACATGACATGTGATCATAAGCCCTAAAGGCAACACCTGTTCCATGTATATTAATTGTGCATTCATTTGGAAAGCCTGAGCCTTGTTCAGGTCTACTAGTCCCTGTTTTTCACTGTAAAGTAAATTAAGTGTTTTATAGTTATCCATAGAAATTCAAGGACTTCTTATGTCCTGCTTTACAGCAGTCCTGGTCTTTGCACTAGCATGTGTGGCACTGAATGGATAATAGACAAACAAAATGTTGCTCAACTGACTCCCTGTGACTTCACACTTTCCCATCGAGAACTGCATTGATATAGAAAGCCTATTAAAATGTGTTTTATAAAAAAACTTTACAGCTGTATTTGTCGGAATTCACTTTGTAATCTAATGCTGGTTAGAAGTACTAACCACCACTTTGTATACACTATCTTTGTTTGTGGCAACAAACCTTTTAGTAAAATATGCTCTTTTATCATGTTTTTGACTGTTCTTTTATGTATAATTTTATGCTTCTCTCCATAGACGTTTTCAACATAATTAAATACTATAAATTAAAAAACTATAAAAAGTCGGGGCAGCACAGTGACTAAGTGGTTAACACTTTTGCCTAGCAGCATTAGGGTAGTTGGTTCAAATCCCAACCAAGGCACTACCTACACGGAGTTTGCATGTTCTCCCCGTGCCTCAGTGGGTTTCCTCCAGATACTCCAGTTTCCTCCCACAATGCAAAGACATGCTGGTAGATTAATTGGCTCCTTTCTAAATTGGCCCCAATGTGTGTATGTATGAATGTGAGTTAGGGAGCTTGGACTGTAAGCTCCTTGATGGTGGGGACCAGGGGCGGACTGACCATTCGGAAACACGGGCACTGCCCGAGGGCCCAGGGTCAGTAAGGGGTCCCATAAGATGCCCCTGGTACCTTTCATAGGCTTTTTTGGGTGTGGTTTGAGTGTGGGCGATGACACGGGCCCCTTGATCCCCTATTGTCCGGGGGCCCCATGAGTTGTCAGTCCGCCCCTAGTGGGGACTGATGTGAATGTACAATATATGTGTAAAGCATTGCATAAATTGATGGAGCAATAAGTAACTGAAATAAATAAAACCTTGCAAACACACATTAAAATTCTTTGCTGTCCACAAGAATGGCAATCTGAAAAAGGATGCATATTTTAATCTAGGAACTATCTTTAACTTATAATAATTATAACGAATATGCAACAAAAGAAAGAGGTTCTGTGAATAAAATGAACAATACAACCTACTATGGCAGGTCATTCTACAGTTTTTACCCCCCTTACAGCCTAATTTATTGAGCTGAAATGGGAGGTGACATGAATCTGTGTTTAGTTTTAAAACATCCAGGCATGTTAAGAAGAAGCTCCATTGTTTTCTCATTCCAATGGCATAGCTTTACAGGTCAAAGCCCCAATGTAAACTTCAGACCCGGACCCCCTCCTTGTGTCCAAGCTTCTGTTATTTCATTTATTTTGCAATGAATACTAGTAGTCAGGATAAAGCAGAGAATGTGAGTGGATCATTGCTGAAAGAAGTAGCCATAGCTCGGGGAAGTGACCTGCTTTCCCATGAATCTCTTGCTGTTGTACACACTTTTGCAGTTTTACCTGTAGAAGGATTTGTGTTTCTGTCCATCAAGATTTAAAATTTACATAGCTCTACCACACCTCAAACTGTTGCGACATCTGGCAGGGCAGTAGACCTAATTTTCTTTGCTGCAGTTAAAGCCTAATTCTAACTGAGATAAAATATGTTAAATTTCAGTCCCCATCGTCGGATGAAAAAAACCCCCAAAAAAAACAAGAATACATGGCATCCAATCTTCAGAGCAGTCACTAGCAGACTCTCCGATTTAGAGTTGCTGCACATTCCATTGCTGCCCCTCTGTCATTCAATAAAGTGTCATTCAACGACTTACAGTGATCCCAAGGTCTCTTCCCACCCCACCCCTACTTTAGACTCACGGGACCTGGAAAAAGGTATGCATATAATTTTAGTTTTTTTTTTGTTTTGGTGTGTTCTAGCAATATGGATGAGGATGGGGCAAAGGTGGGGGGGGGGGGGGGGGGGGTAAATAGTGGGGAAAGCTATAAGTAACACTTACAGGGCATGTCCTCCTCCAGTCTTTGACTGAAGAGTAAAAGGAGAAGCAGAACACTAAAGAGCTTAGCTCTCTATCACTCTGTTCTCTCCTTCTATTAGTATGGTGCCTTAAAGACATGTGAGATTTGTTTTGTTACAAATAGAAATTCAAACAAAATTTTTGTTTTTCGGATGTATCTCAACTTACGAATCAGAATAGTAAGGAATTTCAACAAATCCAAAATAAATGATAACAAAACAAATCATCTGAATTCGACAGTGAATTGAAAAAGAAACATATTGAAATAAATACAGTAAGGTATAAAAGTGAAATAAGAGGATTCCTATTTAGGCTGCTTTATAGAAAAAAAGAATAGGATAGAATCAAATAAAATAGGATAGAAAAAGTAAAATAGAATAGAACGAATATAGCCGTCTTCTGAAATTCGAATTTTGATTTGAAAATAACACATACTGTACAGTATATGAAATCTGAATATACAAAACAAATTCCAAAAATGAATCAATCTGACATAACAAATATGACAAAACAAAATTATTAACTGCCCCAATTTGTGTCTTTTTGCTTGTAGTTCAGTTTTAAACTTGCTACTATGTTCTTGTGTCCAGAAGAGGACTGGCAATGAGAGCTTTGTGCTTTATTTGGAACTTCACTTTAAAAGGGAAGTTACACTTTTTTTGTAATCTTGACCCTCCCCCCCCCCCCCCCCCCCCCAACATTTTTGGAATTTATTTTTTAGGGAACAGGTACCTGTTCTGACAGACACCCGATCCTACTTTGGCCCTCGCCTGAATACAACCTCCAGGGACACATCCCAGGAGCCAGTAGATTGGGGGTCCATTGACAAAGCACAGCACGACTTGTGCATGCACAGTGGGGAGCCAGCTGTGAAGCCCCAGGAATTCACGTCCAGCTTCCCACATCCAAGATGGCAGCACCGAGGACCCGAAGATCAGCAGAGAACTGGCCCAAATGAGAGTAGCGTTGTATCCCATGTGTTTATTAAAAGTCAGCAGCTACAGTATTTGTAGCTGCTGACTTTTATTTATTTTTTTGTTTAAGTTCCCAGGTTTATACTGCTTTATAAATGGAATCCTACTCTTTCCACTGAATTGATAATTTTTTATTGCATTTATTTTATGTATCATAGAGAATGCAGCAGAAGAAGAGAAGCACTTAAAAATGTGCAGGAAGAGTGAGGAACGATGACAGGGAGATGGCTGGATTCTCCAGGAGATATTAGAAGGCAATGAGTTAAAGTCTACCAATAGTGATGACTGCATCAGATGAAATTATATATTTGCCTATTTCTGATTTGCTTAAAAATCTGCATGAATCTCTGTCTGATCTTCAGACAATTTACACAATTCTTAATTCCAGGAAAATGGGATTTGTGAATTGTATGATTCTCTATAGACTAGACCAGTGGTGGGCAACCTTTTTTTTCAACTGAGCCAAATCTCGCCAAAACCACGATTGAAATTTATTTTGAGAGCCACATTTTTAAAACTGAAAATACATCCCCCATATAGTAATTCATCCCCCATAGTAATTCATCCCCCATAGTAATTCATCCCCCATATAGTAATTCATCCCCCATAGTAATTCATCCCCCATATAGTAATTCATCCCCCATTGTAATTCATCCCCCATATAGCAATTCATCCCCCATAGTAATTCATCCCCCATATAGTAATTCATCCCCCATAGTAATTCATCCCCCATAGTAGTAATTAATCCCCCATATAGTAATTCATCCCCCATAGTAATTAATCCCCCATATAGTAATTCATCCCCCATATAGTAATTCATCCCCCCTATAGTAATTCACCCCCCCCTATAGTAATTCATTCCCCATATTGTGTCAATTCACTTACCTTTGCTCCGCACGTTCCTCTTGCCGTGTTCCCACGCCGTTCCGGTCTTCAGGGCGGACTGTGAGAGGAGAGGAGTTCGTCACGCTGCCCCCGCCTACATCCTGACAGCCAATGTTTGCCACGCTCCGCGGGCCGGATTAAAAGGTCCGCCGGGCCGTAGTTTGCCCATTGCTGGGCTAGCTGCAGAGTCCTGACTTTTGGGGCGGCCGCCCGAGAGGAGGGAGGGGAGCGGGCGCCCGGCACACAGAAGAGCCGCATTAAAATGTGTAAAGAGCCGCGGCTTGCTGACCACTGAGTTACGGCAACCCTATTGCCTGTCACCTGGTGGGCAGTGTGCTCCGGAGCCGCAGCAAAGGTGAAAAAGAGCCGCATGCGGCTCTGGAGCCGCGGGTTGCCAACACCCGGACTAGACCAATCTGAAAACATTTTTTATCAAATACCTGTATTAGAGGGCCATTCAGAATAATTTATAAATCTAAGTAACATAAATTGAATGAATGGCAATTGCAGGGCAAAGCATATAAACATGTGTGCTAATGAGTGATGAAGTAAGGCATAGTACTGTACATGTGCATTCTGCCCCTCAGTATTGCAATGCATAGGTGTCAAGACAGCCTTAGTAAAGGCAAACCACCATCCTTGCTATGATCAGTTGTCAGATGGTAGTGGAGGTAAAGGACCAATCTATCTGAAGGTGATATTTCAGTCAGAGATGAAGTCTAGTAGGAAGGGGTAGACTGACAACTCCTGGGGCCCCCAGGCAATAGGGGATCATGGGGCCCCTGTGTCCTTGCCCAAACTCAAAAAAGCCTATGCAAAAGGTACCAGGGGCATCTCATGGGGCCCCCTACTGACCCCGGGCAGTGCCCGAGTTTCCAAATGGTCAGTCCGACCCCTGCTAGTAGGTTGATTCACCTGCTGGCTTCTAATATCTGAATCACTTCATAATAGATTCATGTCTGTAACTACCCACAATGTGGAATATTCACTATTCCTATTGCTTTCTACATATTTTAACATGAATTAAATATCCAACAGAACACATGGGACACCATGATAGTCTGTGTGCAGACCTTAAAACTTAGCACAGAGAACTCGCCACAAGAACCTCCGATTTATGAGTCTCCTATAATAAGTCACAAAGAGATTTATCACTCTAGTAGGTATCAAATAGTAAAATATCTGTGGTTGACTGACTTTTTTTTTTTTTTTTTTTTTTTTAAGTCCGCAAACGTGCAAACTACAACGAAAAAACCCGTAAGTGTTCACTGCAAGTGCAAAACACCACACGAAAAAGGGGTGTGTTTGTCCTACCCCCGGAAGGGTTGGACCGTTCACCCGATCCCCCGGGGCACGAAGCTCCTGACAGGGACAAGGTTCCCATTTGGTCCTCCTGGCCAAAAGGCCTGGTGGACCACCGTTCCTTATGCCCAGCCGAAGCCAGACATCCAGTACTAGGCAAGGGGGTTCTCCCGAAGAGAAAACCCCCTAGGGATCAGGGGAGGAATTTATGGCCACACATCCTCCCCCTAGACTTCAGGTAAGGCCCGAGGACCCACAATCCGTGAAAAACAGTCATAAGAACAGAAAAAGTGACAAAACGTGGGAGTGGTTTAAATAAATAAATATAAAAAAAGTGGTACCGTGCCTAATAGTGCACAGACCAGGCCCTGAGGCCTGTAGCAAAAATTGCCCCGGACTTAGCCAAAAGACCTGGTCCTTAGGGCGCTGTGCAAAAAGAGGTGAAAAACAGTGGCCATGTGTCATCTTCACACCGTGGGGTCCCACCCAAGTGTTACTAGTGACACCCCTGAGAGCGTCTTCCCCAGGGGGCACTGAGTTTGCGGACTTTTTGCGTCCCCGCCCCAGGCCAGACCAAGGTAGATCCGTCCAAATCAGGAGGTACTGGGTCTTTCCAGCTTTCCCAGAGGAATTACTCCCAAG